CGTATGCCTCAAATAATCAACTACCTTGGAGACTGCTACTTTTCCTAAAAGAGATAATAGGTGTTGACATGCTAGGCTCTGAGATCTAGCAGGCCATTATAAAAAGCTGTAAAAGGACACACTATTGATCTGCAGTATTATGTACTCAACTGCCCCTGAAAGCTGTAGACAAACAACCAATCCTTGCAGTTCTAGTGTGAACTGGAAAGTCACAGTTCAGCGATTTTGGCTGTGAGGGGTTTTTTTTCTAATACAGAGGTGGGAAATTCCAGTTTGCTAGCTTTGTGGACTTAAGAACAACAAATGTGACACCTTTGGTATGCTACTACGTTCAGGTCTCTCAAACTGGGCAAGCCCTGTAACTGACATTACCTTCCTCTGCTAGACAACTCTTTACCACTCTTAGGGAGCTAGCCTACCTAAGCATATCCCAGATAAACACGTCTCCAGAATTATAACACAATCTCAGCCTTGAAAATTTGTTAAGAAGAACAAAGCGGAGCAATGAGAAGCCACCAACAGACCTCTATGGTCGATGTCACATGCACAGAAGATAGTGGTCAGTAGGTCTTCTTCACAAATGAAGCTCTCATCACACATGTCAGCTTTGTACCCCAGCGACTGCTTGCATCCTGTGAAGAACAAGTCTGTTATTGTCCATCTTTATTTGCTGATATTACCTTTCATGCAGCACAGCTAAGTGCATTATTATTTTTTTATAGCACAAGCACACATAGCATGCCATAGCTTGAATGATACTTTTTTAATTATGACCAAAAAAAACCACCAAAACCAACCAGCTGGCTCTTTCCCACTTGCCTCTCTACTCTGCCTCTAATAAAAATGCAGATCTTACTGACAAATCATACCAGGAGCAGCTCATAGCTAGAGCCTCCAAGTTGGGAACCAGTTTATGCATTTACTTTTAGAGGTGCATTTTTGGCAACTTTTGCTTTGAGTAAACGCATAAACCAGAATTTAAAGAGGTCAGTTATTTCTTCCTTCTTTCAGATACACTGTAGAGAAATCATCTTGATCACACTAAGTTACACACTAAGTTACTAATAATTCTTAAAAAAAACCCCAAACATCCAACCCCCGCAAAAAACATCCATACCCTCACAGCTCAACTCATATATTATTTATACAAAAGGCAGACCAAATACAATCAAATTTCTAATCCACAAAAACAAATCAGTAAATTTGAAAAAGTTTGACTTGACTCATTACTACTTTACTTCTTTATATTCACATAAATATTTTTAGAGAAATTTAAGGATTTTACTCAGCTTTTTTTGCAGTCTTATTAGATTTGAGTGATTCTGAAATGTATTATTTCTACTTTAAGAAGTAAATAAGTGTCATCTATGCAGGCTGGATAGATTAGATGGATAGATTAGGCTGGATAGATTTTGGATTAGAAGGTGGATTTTTTTCCCCCAGGATTTTTACCTCTTTCACTCAAAGATAATCTCTTTGGCAGAGTAGATTGCATCAGAGCACTTTCTGACTTTTTATCAGATGTGAAGAAATATAGATTTGGACTTGATGTAAGATACTTCTGTTCACAAGGCACATATTTAGATTCAGAATTTGATAAAGCACATAGTTTGTTCTGGGCATTAGCTGCTCTGAATCTGAAACAGGATGGAGAAGAGTTCTCTGTGGGGCATACTGGCATCCATGAGTTGTTAGATCTCTCTTTGCTTTTAATGACTGTATAGGTAGCATTTGCAGAGCAGGAGCCAGATATATGCCTGAGACAAGGTGACAGCAACTGCAAATCTGCAGAGGAAACATTGTCACTGCTGGGACTGATGAAGTGTGGATCAGTACTATCATGACTTCTAAGAGTTCTTTTCCTCAGTATTTCTTCTAGATTTTTTTTTATATTGCACTGTGGACTGTCGAAGTTCCAGGACTGAAATCTGGGTATCTGCAAAGCAGGGTTAGAGACTTGGTCCATCATCTGGATAGATTTGATCTTTCTGCATATGCTCTCCACTGGGTTATGATGCCGTTTGTTAGCCCCATGTTCTGAAGACATTATCAATGCCCCTCTCTTGTAAAGTACCTGGAAAGAACAGGGACAAAGTATGAGTCAGGATGATCAATATAGTCATATTCTTTGTGCCAAGTTTTCTATTCAGATGACAACTCGGAGCTTGGTATCAAGTGGTTTGAATATCCTTGGTCTGTGTATCAGCTGTGACAGAAACCTTGAATTATGATGCTTAGCTCTCCAGGGAACTAGAAGTGATGTGGGTCTTGAAAAGGTGGGGAAGAAATACTCTCTGAAGTTTCACTGCTTATTCTTGAATACAACCACCATATTGGGACAAGGGTGAACAAAAAATAAATCTGAACTCCCTGCAACAGAGCAGCTGACTATCTTTTCAGACTAAAGGAAACTAATGTTAGACCAGTTCATCCCAAACTGAGCATTTTTATATATAAAATTTATTAAAAAGAAACAAAAATCTTACACAACTATTGGACTATTACTTCCGGTCATATTTGTAGGTAAGTCTTATGAAGAGAGGCTCAGGTGGCTGGGGCTCTTCAGCCTGGAGAAGAGGAGGCTGAGGGGAGATCTTATCACTCTCTACAATTCCCTGAAAGGCAGCTGTAGCGAGACGGGTGTTGGCCTCTTCTCCCTAGTGAATAGCAACAGGACAAGAGGGAATGGGTTCAAGTTGCGCCAGGGGAAGTTCAGATGGGATATTAGGAAACACTTCTTCACCGAAAGGGTGGTGAAGCACTGGAATGGGTTGCTGAGGGAGGTGGTGGAGTCACCATCACTGGACATGTGTAAAAAACGGCTGGATGTGGCACTTCAGGAGATGGTTTAGTGTTAGGGTGGTGTAGGGCTGTGGGTTGGCCTTGGTGATCTTAAAGTTCTTTCCCACCTTTATGATTCCATGATTCTACTCAATGAATTACCCAAGAAACATATCCCAAGAGAGGCTCTTCACTTCTATTTGTGTTTTTATTATCTCTTCTCCCAGGCAATATTTAAAAAAAGGTATTTCCAAAAGCATATGTGTAAGCCAGGCACAGGAGGTGCATTTTGCAGGGATAAAGTCATGTTTCAGGTGGCTCTACCTGGCAATTTGCAACCACCTTCCCTGAACTGAGTAGCTGGAAGCTTTCATCTGACATTGCTCCACTGTGGATTTCACTTAGTTTCTCACCCAAAACTCAACATCTACTGAAACATCAGCTATGAGAAAGGCCATCTTCCAGCCAGTGTATTCCAGCAGACATGACTGGACTCGAACAGAGCTCTGTGACAGGCGTCAGCAGCTTGGCTAAGTTTTGGTTGTTGAAAAGCAATGAGGGAAACAAGCAAAACTATTGGAAGTTAGCTATGACATCTTGATCATTATAAGATATATTATTTAAAAGAAGTAATGCAATATATAAAGCTATCTAAAGCTCCCAAGAATCAGATTGACTGTTTTGCACCAAATATTGCAGCTACATACCTACCTCCCACCACTCCATCACTTTCAGCTCCTCAGATCTGAAAATACACTGTATTGCTTCTCGCCACAAGATTATAAACAATGCTTAAAAAAAAGCAAAAACACCACAAAAAACAACACAAAAACCCAACTCTTGCTTCAAAGTAAGAAGCAGAGAAGAGTTCAGCGTATGTTAACTGTGTAACCTCTTAAAAATTTTGTTCCCCAATTTTCTTTTAGGTAGGAAAAAAATAGGTCTTTTTTCAAAAAACCCAGCGACATGCTTCACTAGCATTTAATGTAAGAGTTGCCACTTATATAATTTCATGAAGTAAAGAAAAATCACATGTAAATATTAATCCACAGTGCAATAATCATAAAGACCTCAATGGTTTACTTCAGTGGGCATATTACAGGCTTCCTGCATGCCAATAGGTTGGTTCTTATATAGGCAAAGTCAAGAACTTCAAGGTCATTTTTCTACCATTGTTATTGCAAGTAGTAATATTTACCTGAATGAACATGTCCTTAATGACAGAAATACTTAAAAATAAATAAATAAGAAGGGTGTCAGAATAATTAAAATGTGACTGCAGTTTGTTACCATGGCTGCTTTAAAATATTTACTCCTGAAAAATAAGTGCTGAGAAGTTGAAGCAGTCTCCTCTGTTAGAGATACAGAATGCCTTTTAAAAGAAAAACTTAAAACATTACACTTAAATTTAAATACACTCCCTAAATGCACAAATGCCTTCAAGCAGATATAACCAATCTCCCAATAAACAATATTAGCCTTTGCAGCTACAAAATGCTTTTAAATATTTCTTGCAACTGCATATTTAAAAAAAAAACAAACACAAACCACAGCTCCAAGATTTCATACTTACACTAGCATGTGGAAAAATACCTTCTATCCCTCTCTGGCACAGATAACACAGGATAACATAAAGCTATTCTACCTTTTCCTCTGAGGAGGAATGAACTTTTGTACTCAAGTTAGCAGAGGGCTTGTCTGCTGGAAAATCAGCTTTACAAGCTACAGATGTTGCTGCCTGAGTCTTTCCGCTGAGAGGGGCGATGAGCTGCCAGGAGGTGCAAATCAAGCACCAGTCTCCAGCTTTCCAGCCCTTCTACTTATTTTCTTGCAAGTCTCCTGCAGCCATTAAACAAATTTCCTGAAAGGTTGAGGCGTCCTGAAGTTTCCCTGTTAGCTTACTTTTATTTCTAAACCAAGAAGGAAAATAATGATGGAGCTTAACTGCTCTCAACTCAGGTACCTGGGATGTTTCTTATTTCTAACAGCAGCTCTTTCTTACTTTGCCCACCTACTGCAGAGCATCAGGCAGGAGCAGATCATTCTGAGTTGCTGCTCTGACAGTTAGAGCAGAGAATCCAGAAACTGTGTAAATTTCATAGCTCTTACCCCTTTTTAAAGGAAAGCAAATGTTGAAGTCTCTTGGGCAGACAGTG